ATATATATATATATATATATATGTATATATATATATATATTTGAAACATTAAAAATATAAAATAGTAATATTGTAAGTATAAAAATATACATTATAATTATTCTCTATGAATATTCATATGTTGAAAATATTGAATTTTTTTTTTCATTTTCAAGACTATCAAAAATGTCTCTATATATATAAGTACCTAAACATTCATTTTAAGGGTGTAAGCGAGTACAAATAACTTACGAATCCAAACTGACCCATCTAACCCAATAAGTTTGGATCGGATTTTTTTAGTGTTCGAGTCAGACCCAACTCAACCCGATCAAAACCTGACACTGTACGAGTTGGGTAACGAGCGGTTATATATTATTATTATTATTATTATTATTATTATTATTATTATTATTAGTTTCTTTATAAGTTGATAACATTGTATTTGTAACATTGTATCAAATGATTTATATATTTTTTGAAATATTTAAATTTTTATAAAAAATAAAGAAATATAATTATATTGACCCGATTAACCCAACTCAGCTCAATTCGTTTGTGGGTTAGGTTGGATTGGATTTTAAAAAAAATTACACAAATCCAACCTAATCGAATCTATTAAATTTTAATTGGATCGAATAACGGATTTATCTAAATCCGACCTAACCCAACTCACTTAAATTCATACTTCACATAAGTAAGACTGAGGATAAAAAATATTAACTAGAGCGTCAAAGACTTGAAACGCGAATAAGTACGAGAACTGATTAGTAACTTTTTTGAAAGTATTAAGTTGGAAGGATGAAATATTTGACATTATTAAATTAAAAATAAGAAATAAAGATGAATGACATTTATATATGGAGTCCATATAGGAACTTCAAATGGGTTACTGGTTTGTGGATACAATAACCTACATTAAACTAAATCACATTGAATTTGTTTATTAAATAAGTTAGAGCTGTCAAAGTGGGCTCAACTTGGTGAGCCAACCCGGCCCACCACGAGTTCGAGCTAGGTTGGGTCGAAAAAAAATTGAAAATTTTAGTATGGCTCAATTTTGAACCCGACTCACTAACAACTCGACTCACCTGGGTTGAACATTTGGTGAGTCAGGCTGACCCACCAACCCATAATAAAAAAATGAATAGTTATTGGGCCAATGCTACCCATTAGGGTTTCAATTTGAAGACCCTTAGATCCTCTCACTCTCACACCCTCAGACCCTCTCACACGGTCACACCACACTGCACTTTCCACCATAGTTTCCACCACACCGCACCATAAGCCACCGCACCGCATAGTGATTGATGCTTGCTCCTTTAGACCTTCTCCGAATTGAAGACCTTTCCCTTGAGCTTGCTACGGTTCAAATGATGGAAGAAGATGATTGAAAGGGTAGGAGAATCCCTAAGCTAAGGATGGAAGCATCCAAGCTAAAGATTCAAATGAAAGCTCACTTTCAAGTTTAGGAATGGAAGTTTTCCTAGAACTAGGGTTAGTGAGATTTCGGTGACTCTTGGAGAGAATTTGGCTGAAGTAAAATTCAGAATTCTCATTCATTCAAAAGTGTTTACAATATTGAAGGATTCAAGCATATAAAGCCACGGATTAAGGAGCCACCCATGTGCACTAAAAGTGGTGCCAATTTTTTTGAATTCAAATTTGAATTTGAATTCAAATTGGACGTCCACTTATCCTAAGCCATGTGCAGCCCTTCCTTCTAGATTCTTAATTGCATTTAGAGGTAATTTAGGGTTCATTTGAATGTACACATGTGCAGCCACCTTTGACACAAAACATGTGACCCAAATGAAACTCTAATTACTCCTAAATGTAATTAACATTCTATGATTCATGCTTTAATACTTATTCCTTCTAAATTCCTATTCTAATGGCCTAAATACAATGGCCAAAAAAATACAATGGAAAGGAAAAATTACAAGAATGAAAATGAACCCAATATTGGGTACCAAAAGCCCAAAGGCCCATGAAGCCCAAAACTAGGCCCAATAAGCCTATAGCCTAAAATGTTATCCTAGATGGTCCAAAATACAAGACCCAAAATATAGAAAACCTATACTAACATGATATATACAAGACATAAGGAAAATAGCTAAAATAAGATATGGCCCATGAGTAGCTCAACTTGGGCCTTCCAAGCCCATCGGGCCAATTGGGCCTTGACTGGCCCAAACCTTCATGTCTAGCCCATTCCTCTTGGCTCCTTTAATGTGTCACCCCTTGCCTTCCTAGGCATGATTCCATCATCCCCTCTCTCTTGAAAAGGATTTGTCCTCAAATCACGAGAGCCATATGATAAGAATCATTACCTACATGCACAACATACCATGTATAAGAGGTGAAATATTCATGTGAGAAAAATGGATTGTGGATCCTAAGAGGAATCCTTCTATCTAGTCTAGCAAAAACAACTAAACTATTAAACTCCCTAAAGATAGAAATAGGATCCTCTTCTAAGCATAACCTAGAATGAAATCCTAAAAATGTAGTAACACTAAGACTACTACAATGGAAAGAATGATTCTTAAAAACTAAAACATCTTGCCTAAAGTTCCCTAAATGGAAACCTAGGCATTTCCTAAAATATAAAGAAAAGACTACTAGGACACTTCCTAGACAATTTTGACTCATATTTTTTGGTAGATAAAAAGATAATGTCCCATGGAATCTTGAAAAGTCATATAAACTATTTTTTCCTTGTAGGGAAGGAGGCAAGTTAAATTCAAATAAAGATGAACTTCCCATAAGATCAAAAATAGAATATGAAACATGACAAGATGTTTCTATCAAACAATATATTCCAAAATTTGGGTGCTTTATTAGAACAACTAAGGTAGAAGGAGTCCTAAAGAGAGGGAAGCTATCTTCCTTGGGCACCTCCAAGGAAGTAGCACAAGAAGTAGAACTAATTGTAGTCCACTCCTTCTTCACTACATCTTGAATTCACAAATGTTTTTCACAAATGTTTTTTATTACAACTAGGACCAATAAGCCTATAGCCTAAAATGTTATCCTAGATGGTCCAAAATACAAGACCCAAAATATAGAAAACCTATACTAACATGATATATACAAGACATAAGGAAAATAGCTAAAAAACGATATAGCCCATGAGTAGCTCAACTTGGGCCTTCCAAGCCCATCGGGCCCATTAGGCCTTGACTGGCTCAAACCTTCATGTCTAGCCCATTCCTCTTGCCTCCTTTAATGTGTCACCCATTGCCTTCCTAGGCATGATTCCATCAATAGTTATTGGGCCAATGCTACCCATTAGGGTTTCAATTTGAAGACCCTTAGATCCTCTCACTCTCACACCCTCAGACCCTCTCACACGGTCACACCGCACTGCACCTGCCACCATAGTTTCCACCACACCGCACCATAAGCCACCACACCGCATAGTTGCCAGTGCGTGCACCGCGAGCCACCACACGCACTGTGAGCCACCACGCGCACTGCAAGCCACTATGCACTGCGAGTCGCGAGCCTCTACAAGCACCGCAAGCCACCGTGCGCAAATTAAACAAGTATATTCTGCATCATTATGAGTTGTCCTGTGACATACAATTTGGTTTATTTTCAATTGGTCTGTTTTTGAGATATACTAGGATGGGATGTGTTTTTGAAATTCCATAGCGTAACCTGAGTATGATTTTTAATTGAATTTCTTTCTATTCATGTATCTAACATAATAATAAAAAAATAAAAGGTGTGGACTAAGTTATAATTTCACATATTATTTTCTGGATTTGCTTTCTTATCATGACATTTTATCTTGTTATCTTGTGTTCTCTCTATACTTGGATGTGGATATTGCACTGTGATTCACTCTTAATATTAATTATATTTGTTAGTTGTAAAAAAAGTAAATAAAAATAATTACATTTTTTTAAATTAGGTGAGCTCTACCTGTTTAACCCACCAACCCATGGTGGGCCAGGCCGGGTTCAATTTTTTTAGCTCACTAATAAATGAGTCGGGTTGGGTTGGCCACCAAATAATCAACCTATGGTGGGTCAGGCCAAGCTGGGCCGGGTTACTCGTTTTGACAGCTCTAAAATTAGTTAAAGGAAATATTCTTTAATTTAAAAGCTTAATTAAAAAAAATCATTTAAGTATACCTCATTAAGTCAAGTCAATTTAAACTTTAGGCTATTAAAAATAAAATGGGCTAAATTCAAACTTTTAAATTTAGAAACTATTTTATGTTCAAATTTTATAAAAACCTCTCATACTAACCTTTTTTAGCCGTAAAGATAGGATTGTTAACATATCTCAACTCATCATAACTTGGGAGTATGGGATAAGATTAGTTAACCTTCCAAAACAAAATCTAAAAATAAAATTAAATGGTTTGACGAATTAGAGGTGACCCAGCAAATATTTATTTTACCTCCTTAATAAATTATTTTTTTTCAATAAATAACAATTCTTTACTGATAAGATTAAATATATTAATTTTAACTCTTTGTGTAAAGACTCACCATGGTCTTCACACTGCAGAACAACACCACACACCACTATAATATATACTAAAATAGTATAATAAGAAAATATATACATTTATCTAACCATAAAGGCTCAATAGGCCAAATAAAAATATACAATGCCAACAAAATGCTACTCCAAGGTAGCCTACAAAAATAAATCATCTACTCCAGCTTCTACCACCAAGTGGCCCCCAACAGCTCATAACAACCTATCCCTACCCTACTCCCATATATAGTATGATCATCGCAGTCCACACCACATGGAAATATGCAAAGGTAAGCTAGTGAAAAGAATCAATGTGACACCCTCTACCACAATATACATATATAATAATTTTGAAAACATATTCTTGGAGTAAATAAATCTTTTAAATTAAAACCATGGTTCTACTAATATAAGAGTAGAGAATTCACATTCGTAAACATAAATCATGGTCAAATGCAAAATTTACATGAAAATGGAACATGAGATTTTACAAAACAAAATAACAATAATGAAATCCTAAACTAAGCCTAACTATGCCTCGATGTCACATATCATATCAAAGCACGCCCAATTGAACCCTAAGCCTCATCACCAACATCCCCATGCTGATGATCACCTACAACACAATTTAAACACATACCAAGGGAAACAGGGGAGTGAGAAACATCTCACTCAAGTTAAGGTGTAAAAATAATGTTCAAGCAACACACACAAATCATAACAAAGCACAGCACAAAGCACACATTAATCAAGCATAACTCAAGTCATACATACATTAGTAGCACATACACAGTCACTCATGCTAATTCTATCATGCTCATCCTTATCACATATGAAAGATAAGAAGATTTAATACAACTCTTATGAAGACATCAAGTCCTAACTTCATCATCTACTTTGTCAAAACTTACAAAAACCGCAATAGCTATAACTAATGTTGACAGCTTGACTCCTGTTCACTAAAACAGTCATATCTGGAGTTATAGACCTTCTTTTTGAGTGATTCCAACGCCATTGGAAAGATAAGATCCAAGGGTACAATTTTCATGAAGACCATAAAGTCAAATTCTGAAAGTAAAAAAGCGCTCAGCGCCTCCAAAGCGCTTAGCATTTTACCTCCAAGAACTCTCCCCTAGCACACTGTCCCCCAAAAGGCTCAGCCCTTGAAAAGGGCTCAGTCATTCCGAAAGAGCTTAGCGTTTCCAATGGCTCATCCCTTTACCTCTAGGGAGTGTGATGAGTCATTATTTTTCCTTATTTATTTATCTTTTTGTACTTATTTTAATTGTTGATTTGGGCTTAATCTCTTATTAATTGACAGTTTTACTGTTTGGGTTTCATTGGGCCAGTAATTTGAATTTAATTAATTCTAATTCACTTGGTCTAATTTTTTTCTATTAATTATTTTCAGCTTAATTATGGAGCATTTTTGGGCTTGGATATTATTTTTGGACTTCAAGAGATAAAGTGCAATGTCAGCGCCATGTCAGCACCAAACCGCCACATCAACGCCACATCAACAACATGTTTACATTTCTTTTAACCTTATTTTGGTCATTTTCGGGCTAGACACATGGGAAGGAGGCCCATTTACTTTTTAGGGTTTCTTAGGACCTAGGGTTGACCATGCAACCAACACTTTTGATGTGACCACATTTTGAGTTCTCTCCTTCTTCTTCCTTTATGTTTTCTGTGGCTCTTGCCTTTCTTTACGTTTTTCTCTCCTCTATTTTGTATCTTGTTTTACGTTTTTCTTTTACTTCTTCTCTGGTTATAGCAAAAACTGCACTTTTACATTGAAT